ACAATGCATCTCGAAAACAACAAAAAAAAAAGATCCCTCATCTCCACCAACACTCCAAGCTGGTCTCTCTCCTATCTCAAAACTTCCTTGTAATTAAACACCTGCATAATGAATTAAACTCTCCGGGGAATGTTATTTGCCAGCTACTTTTTCAATTATTTAAAATTAGCTTAAGGGCCAAAGCAATCAGGTCATTCATTAATTTAATTCCTTTTTTTTTGTAGCCGCGCTTCGTGACTTGGAAATGGAACTGCAAGATCAAAAGGACAAAGAGGAATGAAGAGGAAATTATACCAGGCACTTACAAAGTTCCCTGGCCCATGACCTCACCCAGGATGCAGAGTCCCTGCTGATGCACAAAATGCTCCAAATGGCCATTTTCCTGTGCAGACAAACATTTCTCCAGATGCCAGGGTCATCTGTTTCTGAGAAAACCAGCTACTCCAGCAGGCAGCTTCTCTCYGTGTCGTGGCTGGGAGCAGCAGCCTGGCYATTTCATTCTCCTCTGCCTGAAAAATCTGTCACCTGCCTGGTGGGAGCAAGGGGAGGAGCTGGGCCAGCAGCCAGCAGTGACCTGCAGAAAGTCCRTGGCCTGGTGAGCTCCCAGGACAGYGYTCTCCTGTGTCACCTCAGCCAGACAGCAGCACAGAGCCCTTCTAGGACAATTTTTGCCTCAAAATGCCTTTACAGCTCCTCATGAGGAGGAGCTCAATTTAACCTGTTTTCCCTCGTTCCCAGCACAAAGGGGTTTGATGGTTTTCACATTGCTTTTTGTAGCAGGAAAATGACAACATTTCAGAAAGGTGAAGGGGATGAGCCTGTACTCACAGGGTAAAAAACTCGGGGATCTGCTTCCTGAGTGACCAGCACTGAGAGCTGCAGCCTTTGTGKGATGGTCAGCAGGAACTGGGCTGGACAGCCCCAGAATACACCCAGAACCCCACACCCCATCTGTGTGACTCAAAACAACAGCTCAAGCAAAAGGATTGTGTGGTTTGGCATCTGGTCCAAGACAGCAAAACTTTYAGCTCCATTAAATCTCATCATCTTTAGACAGTTCTTTTGTCCAAGCATTATTTCCACCAAGAAATAATGCAGAGCTGAAAATCTCTTGGAAATGCAAAAGCCTCCTGCCTGCTTTGATAGAATTGCTTCAGCAATGCTGACCAGCATATCCTGCAAATATCCTGGCATGCTGCTGCCAAGTAAAGAAAAATCCCCCTTTTTTTTGTTTTTCTTCTGCCTTTTCTTCTTTGATGTAAGAGCCTTCAGCATCCCCTGCACAAACACAAGCTCCTGGCTGTGCGTCAAGCTCTTCATAATGCATTATATTCTTTTTTTTTGACAGAATAAAGTGGGACAGGGAGGAAAAAAAGCAGGGTGGGCATCGCCAGCCAGCCTGAAGGAGTGTGCCACATCACACTGCTGCACCATCCCATGATTTTCCCTGTCGATATGGGGGCTCTGAGCCACCTTTCTAATGAATAAACAGCTGTGATTTCTCTGTCCTTTTTCTTTGAAGCCAGATGTCAAAACCTTATGCCAGAAAAGCRWGGACAGTGAGACWCATACRTGTATGCTCAGCACTGAAACTCTGRTAAAAGTTGGAATTCRYGTTGTCTGCTACCTTCCAGTGGGAGCATGAACATTCTTTGTTTCTTCTCCCCAGCCACTACTGAGATATGTCAAAATACACTTTTTTTTCCCCTCAAAGCCTCTGTCTCTAAAAAACAGATGAAAAGTAACCAAATATTTCAGAAATTGTCACGAAGAAGGACAAGTTACTCTTTTTTTTCGGGCCAGAGGGCTGGTGGGAGCTGGATGGAGGTGCTGTGCACTCTCYTTTTCCTGTTTGGGAGGGAGCAGGCACAAAGCTAAGCTCATTCACACCATCAAAAGCTCGGCTCTCTCACAATGAATTTCTGTTTACAGTGAGGAAGGGAATATGTGACATTGTGTGGCTCTCTTTCCTAAAAATAAAAGCAGGGAGAAAAAGATGATCCATGCAAAAGGACTTTTCGAAATTGTTACCCACCAGCCCCAGCCCAAGCACAAAGCCTGACAGCCCCTGAGAAATCATCTGACAGGCTCGATGGTAAACTTGACAGGACAAAAAAAGATATATTTTGAAAGTTCTTCCTTTGATTTATGAGGCTTCACACTTTGCCTACAATCTACGATGCTAAAAATATCTTTGGAAATAAAAACTGAGGAATCCGCAAGACTCTAGAGGGCGGAGATTTATGAAAAAAATAAACATAATGAGGTTGTTTTCTTTTTTTTTTTGATCACACACTGTTTGTGGAGGAGAGTTTTCTGGTGAGAGGCATAATTTACTCTTCTCTTTCCAAAAGTTTCCTTGTGAACTGCACAAAACTCCTCTGATTGAGCTCTCCAGCTGCTGGATAATGAGACAACATGAAAAATGGCAAGCCTGAAAATTCACATGCCTCATCCTGAAGAAGCAAATGTGAGAAAAGATGGGATATGTGTCATGAGAGTGGAGCTGAGAGGAGCACAGGGGTGGGCAGATGCAGGAAGTGGGGGCAAGTCTCTGGTGGGAGGTAAAACACAAATAAAACCAGAAGGAAATCAGTGGACAAGCAGACAATATGGCCTCAAAGTTTCCCAGTGCTTTTCCCTACYCTTTTTCACAGCTWAAAAGAYCAAACACTTTCCAGAGCTCCAAGCCATGGGSAGTACAAAGCCCCATCTTATCCTGGTTCTTCCTGGGAACCAARGKCTGTGRGAYAYATTTTCATAAACAATTACAGCTGGGACCGAGGGTGGGGGCTGCAGAAAAGGGGGGAATTACATCACCCCTAGTCCTCCTAATTGGTGCTTTTATCAATTACGCTAATTTACTAAAACCTATCAAACYGTATTCAGCCCTGTGGGGTGACCTTTGGTGGATATTCTTCCMTAACTCCAATAAAAACCCACTTTTATATCACCTCCTATGCTAAAATCATCTCSAGTTTCATTCCTAAATKGAAAAAGGCAACCCTGTCAGGTGATGCAGGAATAAACAGAGYACCCATGCATTTGGAATGTACTGCAGATAAATCTTCTGCAAACAAAAGCTTCATCTTCAAAAGCACCCCGCACCTAGAGCAGACCAGATTTTTTTTTTTTACAGAAAGTTGACTACTGGTGTTGTATACTGCATCAAAGAATTCATCCCCCATCCCTGAATTTCCTGTGTTGTTACAATTTATTCCCAGATGGCTTTTTTGGTGGAACTGCTCAGGAGACTTTAGAAAACACAAAATTTTCGAGAGTTCAGCAACTGCAAAAAAATAGGTTTGGACACAAGTACCAGGAGTTGATCTTTATCCATACTCCTGGCTTTTGATAAGGAGGGGGAATGTTAGACTGTCCTTTTCAATTAACAAGCAATCTCAAATGCTATCCAAAAGTTTAGATTGAGCAACCTATATAAATAAAAATTCCACAYATGGTTTATGTGCCAAAGCATGAGTTGGTATCATTGTCAATATTAGCTTAGCTGGGGTTTGGAAGGTTTGTACCAGCTATCTCAGCAGTTCTCAGCCACAGGAGGTTTGGGCCTTCATGTTGGTTTCATTTTTCTCCCAGAAAATGACAATTTGTTGGATTTTCAGTGGTTTGGCAGCCATTCTCCATCATTGTACTAAACCCAAAAACACCCAAGTTTTTATTTCCCAGGGCTGAAATCCTTCAGCATAACACSATCATCTTTCCCTGCGTTCTTGTGGCCTTTTGCACCTTCTGTATTCTCCTGTTGAAGTCACAGGTTCATACAGATTCACGCTGGCCCTGGGATCAGTTCACAGCTAATTTGGATGCCCTGGTCTTTGTTCTCAGCACATTTAGCTTCTCAACCATGTTGCATTTTAACATTAATTACACTGGGGCTTTTTTTTTTTTAATTGGACTGTGATGTTCTTTCTTTGCTCAGATAAAACTAACTCATGAACAATCAGAACTCAATCAAAACTAGCTCACAAGCAATCAAAACTCAATCAAAACTAGCTCACAAACAATCAAAACTCAATCAAAACTAGCCCACAAACAATCAAAACTACATGTTTTCCACTGGACAAACTCTAATTGTCTCAGAGGCTTCCCAATGCAAAGACAGATTCTTTGTTTGAAGCAAAAAAAAAAGAAATTCTCGGTTTGTTTTTGGGTTTGGTTTTTTTTTTTTTTTTTTTTTTTTTTTGCTTTGAAGAGTAGGATCCTTCAGATCTGAAGAGCCTGCTCTGGTCTGACAAATCAGCAGGGCTGTTGGATTAAAAAGGCAGCTGAGAGGGTGAACATGAAGGGTRCTGTGGAGCACAGACTAGTTGGCAGCAGGCACTGGAGAGACATAAAATCCAATGTTTCCCTGCAGAAGGAAACGTGTGACTCCTTCCCYGCCACCTCACATTATCTGCCACGCTGGGACACTCAGTAATTACACAGCAGACACTCATGAAGACAAGCTTGTCCAAACAAATGATGGGCACGAGGTGATGATGAGTGCAGCGTCGTTAAGGCTGTCTCACGAAGGAAACAAACCAAAACACAGTCACTCCTTCAGTGAAGAGACATTTGCATATTAAAATTTGAAAAGAAGAACTGACTGAGCGATTTTTTTTTTTCCATGGGAAAGGAAACGGTTTCTGGAAAGTAAATTCGCATCTGCAGAGCAGAAATTTGTTTTTTTCTGCTCCTGGAGGGAATATTCTGAGTTATCAGTTTGGGACAAACAGATCTGTTTTCCCAAAGTGAAAGCCAAGTATTTGAGCCCAGTATTTGAGATATCAAGTATCACTTATCAATGGTGTTTGTTCTCCATTCAAAAGCCACAGAAAATTCCTAGCTGGGCGTACAACCTGACATGGAACTAAAAGCTAAAATATTTTGCAGACGCCTCCCTCAGCAATCTCAAAAGGCAACCAGCACCACCAGAGAGCTTCATCAAGGCAGGGCAGACACCTGGAACTGCCTTTCACTCTCTTTCACTCTCCCATTACCTCGTGGGACAGGTAAAAGGCAGCAATTCCCAGTGGCCAGAAGCAGCAGAGCATGGAGAACACAGTGAGGCCGAGATGATCCCTYGGTGGCATCATCAGGAAGTTGTCTTCACTCTCCGTGTCACTTGAGTAGTCACTCTGGAGCAGCAAAAGAGACAAAAGTCAATTAATGACGCAAATTAATGATGTAAATGAAAGATATTACCGCTTTTTCTCTGCCAGGAGCCAATGCCCTGACCATTTGCCCATTTCTCCACCACAGCAGTGGCCAGCAGGTCTCCTCCTCCTCCTCTTCTTCCTCCTCACCCACTGCATCACAGACCCCACCATTATTGCATGAACTGAAAGCAAAACCAGACAAATTTAATATCACTGCCTGATATCCTTACTGTCCATGAAAGGAAGGGGCTCTCCAGTCAGATGAATGTTTCCTTTCAAAAATAAAGAAGGAGAAGGAGAGGGAGGAAATCAGCAGCGCTGCTGAAAACACCCCTGGAAATTGCACACTCACCCGAACAGGTGAGATACAGAATCAAAAAATGTTTTTAGTTTTCAGGTTTTTGGCTGAGTTGTGTGCTGGCAYAGTGTCTGTGCAGACCACCTGTCTGATATTCCAAATTGCCTTTTCTTTCACATGAGGATGATACGGGGAAAAGGTTCCTCAGGTAACTCTGGCCATGTACTGAACCACARAAATTATCAGTTGTGCTTCTTCCCAAAGGCCGAGCTGACCTGCCTGTGAGTTACCAAGAGTGACAGAATAATTTTAATCATAAAGTCCTGACCATGCAGACCAACTATTAACCAAAAGGRTGAAAAAAGGTCAAAAATCACAGAAAGAAATTCAACAGCAAATGGTACCTCTTAACTCTTCCAGCTAAACGCTCCTTTTTCTAAGCAAACCTTCCTTCCCAGCATTCCTTCTTACAACATATCTGAGCTTGCCAAAAAATCTCTCTATTCAGAAATCCCCCTGATATTGGAATAAAGGATAATTTGGCTACCTAACTCTGATTTCACTTATTCCTGGGTCTGCAGATCTGACACTGAAGAAGGTGAACATTAGTGCTGTTGAGAAGTCAGAACTGTGTTCACCAGTTACAGTTCTCTTCCCAACAGGTCATTTCCTTAGACATAATTTCCCAAGCTTTTTGGAGAAATCAGGCACTGGGAAGCAGAATGCCACAGAAAACATCTACACAGGAAGAAAGAAGCCAACTCCACTTGTAAGATGCATTTGAGATGCAGTTTCCTCACAGCCTCTAAGTGTCCAAGCAGATAATTTCTATCAGAGAAAGCTCTTTCATTCGGTAGAAAAGCCAAAAAAACCCCAGTGACTGAAAGAATACATGAAGAGCAGGCAMAGGGTGCAGATTTTTGACAGAGATGGTGATGATGAACACTTTCCTGCAGTTGTAATGGATTTTCTATTGAAAAAAAAGCCTTTTCTTCAATCGAGGCTGGCTGCCCCTGGAAGCTCCGTGCTTTACCTCRGCCCAGCCATCGCAATTGCAGTGCAGACAGCCTGCCAAGCACACTGGGGATGTCAGACAGCGGGGTCTGCTCTGAGCTGCAGCTGATGGATATTCAGGAAACAGCCCTTTTGCTTTTTTTCCCCCTTCAAAGCAGCCAATTCAGAAACAAGCACACGCTGCACACAAAACTAATTCCTCACTTGGTCCCGTGGGACTAGCCTTCAAACCCAGATGGTCCAGCAGCCTGTCTTTGACAAAGACCAACACAGAGCTGCTCTGAGTTAATGTGTGCCCTGCTTCCCTCCACACAGRGCCTGTTCCAGTAATGCAGTTAAACGTGGTGACCTGTTCTGAGCAGCGTTCTGCACCCTCCTGCTCTTCTGCAAGGCKTTGGGGTCCTCCCTGCAGCTGGATGGGGACTGTCCCACCAAAGGCTGCAGTTTATCACTGCTCTGCCTCAGCACACATTTTCATCCCTCAGCAGCACCTCACTGATGGGTTTTTTTTGAGAGGTGATGTCTCTAAAGCCTTTTATTTATTTAATTTTGCCTGTCTACTTATTTCTTTTTACAAGGGTTTTGCAGATGATTCCCTTCACTCTTAAAGGCATTTAAAAGATCCGTAATCCCCTAACACCGACCTGCTCCAGCTCCTCTTGTTTCCCCAAATCCCAGCCTAAAAATTGYCTTGTCAGTCAAGCAGCCAGCCTTGCAGAATGGGCTCACTGAGGTCTCTCCTTGCTTGGGAAGCTTTTCCGACACTATTTGCAATGCCAAAATRCATCAGGGGCAAAAAACTCTGAGTTGCCGAAGCCTATTCTTCCTCCAGGAGCCCTGGATTTTGATCATCTCCCTTGTGATGTTTTCTAGACACCCACTGCCAGCCTGAAACTTGCATTCAGCCACTGGGAGGGGATGACTGTGGGCAGCAGGRGATGGATCCACCCTAAAACAAGTGCTGTGACCCATCATGACCATCCCTTTTTGCTTTTGAGCTGGCACAGCCCTAAAAGCAGCGTGACAAACATCCCCCTTCTGCCAATGGCAGGATGCAGCTCCTCCAGAGCTCCTGCCCCACTCACAGGGATCCCAGGGACATCCCTGCAGAGCTTTACTCTGAAAACTCAGGGAAGTGATGGTGAGAAAGGGAATTTCCACAGGCCCTGGCTGCCATCAGGAAGATTCATGGGAGGACACTTGGCCACTGCTGGAGGTGACCCCCCAGCCACACTCTCCTCATCTGGAGCTGGGTAATCGAGGTTAATATCCCTTGGCAGGCTCAGTATCTCCAGACTTGAGCAGCTTCTCCTTCAAAGGGGAAAAATAAATCAAATGCAAGGTGTAATGGCTCTTGTAACCTGTTAATAATGTGACTTTGAAGRAACTGAGAGACATTAATGTGTCCAGTGGGTAAGGTGACCCAGTGCCACACCTCTGGCAGCACACTTGAACATGTGCCACGACACAAAACCACCAAAAATTACATTCCCAGATCCCCAATGCAGCCCTAGATGAGCTTGGCCAAGGTATTTATGATGCTGTTTTCTTCCAGATGCAGAATAGGAAAAAAAAAAAAATGTATACCTTGAAAGCACTACATTTCTTTTTTCTTCTTTCACCCCCCGAACATTCTATTTATTTTGCATTTAGAGGTCGTTTCAGACTTGCTGAATGCCGGGAAAAAAAGTCAGAGGGTTTAAGAGAGAGCTCCGAGGTATTCTTTTATGCGACGTATATGAATAATTTAATTTGCTGCCACGAATAGCTTGGGTTTCTCTAAATAAGCAACCTATCTAGTGGCTAGGAGGGAAACCAGCAGCASTGTAACATGACAAATGCTATTTTTGGAAAAAGATGGCACATGAACTCTAACAGGAAGGTATTTCATCTTGTAACTCATTTCATATTTCACTGCCGCCACGTTTGACAAGTTGTCTGTCTATTAGCTGTGGCGTAAAGAACTCGTAAGATATTTATGAGTTTTCCAGAGATGCCTAAATAGGGAATCATTTGATTTCAGGGATGGGCACGGAAGAGAGGAGTTTAAAACCCTGACAGAATGTGCAGCCTTCTGTTTTCGTGTCTGGTAATTGCTGGAGCAAAGCAAGGCTCTGTATGCTAATGAGAGCTGTTCCTGAGTTGTTTCTCCCTCCAGACAAGGATGATTTTCTTTGGCAGACTGAACAGCACCACACCAGGACCTGAGAAACACTGCTGGTAAAAAAAAAAACAAAGCAAAACAAAACAAAAAAAACCAACAAACCGATAAATGAATTTGTTAAACATTGCTCCACGATTAGGGTGTCTCCTGCTCCTCTGCTGGAATCACAAGTTCTTCAGAGTCCCCAGGCTTGGAAGGGAAGAAGATGTTTTCTCCTCCCCAACAGCTTGTCCTAGACATGTTGAGCTGTATAGATCCACCCTGAGGAGGATGACAACAAACCCTGCAGCTTGGCTTGGGCAGTTCTTCAAACCAATCGAAATCGATCAAAATAGTTGGGATTTTTTCCAGAATCTTCCTCTACTGCAAAGTTTTCTGCTGGAGAACAGTAACCCTCCTGGTTTTCAAAAGCTCAACACTTCTCAAAATTAAAATCATKTCATAAACAGTCTGACCCACAATAAAAGTATTTTCTGCATGTGTCCCTGCTGAAAGTGTGGCACTGAGGTGAGGGAGACACTACAAAGGGATGAGATCGATTTGTGGGCATTTCTGAGGAATTAAACATCCATCCTGAAAACCCCATTCTGGCATAAGGCAGGCAGTGCCAGGGAGACAGGGGGGTAGAGCAATGGCATTTCACAGAGATGCTCAAGCTGGGACTCCACTTGCCTCACACTGGCACTTGGAGAATGAGAGGTAGTCCTCAGTTTTCATGAAAAAAGAGCTTTTCTGCACAATGTTTCCGGAAAAAGGATTGGTTTTACAGTTTTCTCCCAGAAAGAAGTGCCAAAACAGACGTGTTACAACAATAAACAAGGACTGAGCCCTGCTCTGCTCTGACGCTGTGCAGCCTCCATGCCTTGACAGTGGACGTGACAAGGTACACAGCAGCATCCCATGCCACCCTCTGTGACAGGCTCAAACCCTTCAGGACTCTCACAAAAAATTGTGCCTTTGTCATGTCACTCTCTTCCTCTATTCCCCTTCAAACTCCTGCTCCCAGTCCTGGCMCTCACTCTTTCCATCCCATCTATCAGTAACCTAAAAAAAGCACTTTTTTCTTGCCAGAAAAATTCTTTCTAGTGGGACACACTTGTGTGATTCAGGTGCTGGTTTTGTGTAGCCAGCAATCTGGCACGGTTCATCACCTCCTTGGTGACTGCTTGTCCTTAAATAATTTTTTCCTCCATTGTCAGAGTCTCAGCACGTGAAGTTAGGTCTGTAATGAAGCTTGACCTCGGGAGGCTGCGGTGCAGGGAAACAGGTCAAAAAGAAGAATGAGYGAGGGAAAAGGATGCCCACACTGTCAGAGGACGTCACCCAAATTTACTGTCTCATTTCTCCCCRTAGGATCAGAGGAGGATGAAGTCCTACAGCTGGTTTTCAAGACAAAAATGTTCCCTGTGAAGAGCTGATCAAGTTCCTCCGCTACAACTGTGAAGAGCTTTTTTTCCTTATGCTGCTCATTTTCCTGGCCTTTTTTTATCCCGATCTCCAAAAGCTGGCTGAAGAACATCTTCTTGGCTTGAACTGATGAGAGGAGACTCTTTTTTGCTGCCTGAATGTCGGGCACCAGTTACACCACACTTGTGCCACTGCTGCACGAGAGAAACCGGGGCGAAAAGGCGGCAACCGGGAATTTTGCTTTGATTAAGGAAATTACGCTTCAATCACGGTCAATCCTGAAATTCTGGGCAAGGCTGTGATTTGGGCTAATGTTCTCACACACTTCAGAGGGAAGTTTTCTGTCTCCCTGTGGAGGCATTGAATGCTGCATTAATGGGGCAGGCACTGGGAAAAACACTTCTCTCTTCCCACCTTATCAATACAGAGAGAAAAGGGAATAAAGGGGAATGGCTGGATTTCCCCTGTGCTGATCACAGGGTGAGRTGCTGGTATTACAGGAGGTGAAAATAGAAATTTTAGGGCTTGTTAGATCTCAGTCCTGGCTGAAAATCACAGCGACAGAGAAGCACAGCCAATGTCCCTATCTCAGCTGGGACGTTCATGTATGAAGGTAAATTTTTGCTTTGGACAGAGGGTCTTTGCTAAGTTAAGCGTCTCTGAGCAGTGATGGAGAAAGTTTTCAGATGGGCAGCATTATGGACACCCTCCACTCCCAGACACAAATCCATGCTGCACTTGGGCCTCTGGTTAGAGTAACAAAATGCATCATTTAAGAAAGAATGAAGTTGATTTCCACAGTATGCCCCATTACTTTACAGTGAGCAATCAATGAAGCATGGGACTCCAGAAAAACACATTGTATTCCGATCTAAAGAAGTGTTTCGCTCTAGCACAAAAATACATTTATTTCAGAGACATGGATTCACTGCAGCTCAATACCCAAAGACTTCCATTTCTGAGTTCAYTTTGAGGTGTTTTGTGTTTAAGCCAGCAATTTGAAACATTCTGCTCGAGGCAGGGAAGGCAAATGTTGGCCTGCTGAGTAAGGCAGGCTCCATGTAGGCAGCAAGAGGTTCTCAGCCCCAGCCTTACACAGCATTTTCAGCCCTTGGGTCTTTTTCTGTTTCTGCCATTCCCTCAGAGGCAGGAGGGAAATGCTGATCTCCATCMGGGCCAGTGGGAATTTTGCCATTGGCATCCACAAATCTGGGACTTTACCCAACAATTAAACACAAGTGATCATTCACTGAACCRGTTGGAGGAGAAAAGTGACACAGCTGACCCAGAAAGCTGATGTTGTACACTTATTTCCACCACACCCTCCTTCCTCCCAGCCTCCTCCACTGACCTCCAGCTCCTGGAAATCCTCCTCCTCCTCCACCTCGTAGGAGAGCGTGTGGATCTTGATGTCGTCGGCGGCGAGGTCGATGAATTTGCCCTCGGGGTACTCCAGGCTGTCCTTGGCGGGCGAGCGCTCCTCGATGAAGGTGGTCTCGCAGCACTCGGGGCCCAGGCCCTCTCCCCACGAGCGCAGCACGTTCTCCGAGTAGAGGATGATGTTGGGCCGGTAGTGGCTCTCCACCGTCTGCTGCAGCGTGTTGGGGTCCAGCAGCTGCTGCACGGGGTCGCTGCGGCCGTTCTCCGGCCGCCTCGGGGACGCCAGGCCGCCCGCCCGCTGGCTCTGGTACTGGGGCGCGGGGTACACGGACACCAGGCCATCCCGGCCCTCCGCCACCAAGTTCCTGGTGTTAATTAATCCGTTCCTTTTGCCGGCCTCGGAGATCTTGCTGTGCAGCAGCACGCTGCTCTGCTCCACCACGCCATCCATGCTGYGAGATGTCCGAGGGCCGTGGCTTTGCTGGGCCTTGGGGCTCACGCCGGGTCAGTGGCTCCCATCGTCCTGAGGAAGGGAGGAAACGCAAAGGCAGGGAGTCAAAGGATTCAAATCATCTTGTTTTCCTTATCAAGATCAGCTTGTCTTCTGTATTAGAGCTCCTCACGTGTGCACGCCCTGACTTAGTTTTCCAAATTCATCCCCACACGGAGAGGCGAGGAATGCCTTCTCTGTGCCCATGGGGTGCAGAGAGGCAGATTAAATATCTTGGTAGTGATGGAACCCATCAGAGAATGGCTTTGGTGCCTGCTCCAGCCTCCCAAAGGTGCACATCCCTTTCTTCTAAACACTTCGATAAGAGATGGGAGGAAAAAAAAAAGACCAACCCCCACCACAAATCTCCTAGAAGAGCCATTTTCAGTTCCCAGAAATCAGCAATTGCAAAGGATGGGCAGGTGCTGTGCTCACCTATCACTGTCTCTAGTCACTCTGCCCTTGGCAAGTGCTTTGCTACCCTTTGGAAACCCATTTTTTCCAGCCCAAGCACTTTCTCACCAGGCTGCCTGTTTTTCTCAGGTGTAGCCAAAGGAAAATACTTTTGAAACACTGATGTGTCGGCCACAGCAATAGCCAGTTCAGGGGTTTCTGGACACGACCACAGAAATGACAGACATGCTACTGCCTTTAAAGATCTTCACATTAGGCCCTCTAAACCAAAATTTTAATGTACAGTTACCTGTCCCCATGTTCTGTCTGAAGGATACCAAGAATGACACGTAGAAACCCATAAATGTGTAATAATTTTTACTCAATGCTTTCTATTTCCCTTTTATCAGGCAACCTCTAGCAGAGCAATTCTAATAAAGCCCAATATTATCTCCTCCAACTCCAGATTTCAAATACCTTCAGTCCCACTTTCTGGATGTTTAAACCACTGCCAAGAGCTGCTCTAACACCAACAATTGAACAAGAAAWTTGTTTAACATACAGGAGACCTCCTGAGCTGGCTTGGAAAATTTGAAAAGTCTGGCATCAGAAAACGTGTGGCATCAACCATCAACCCTGCTAAAGAGTGTCATGGAYGGTCAGCACCTGGTCACTGCATCAATGGCTGTGGTCACTGAATTTCAACAAAGCCTGGCTTAAATAGCGCTCAGGAAAATGCCCTTTTAGGGCAGTTTTATTGCACACATGGTTTCTCAGTTSCACCATGGGTCTAAACATCTCTATGGCCAGTTCTTACCTCCTGTGCCTTTAAACCAGCCTTGGAAATTAATCCTGCAGATTGTGAGTGATACCTTCACCTTGGGAACGGGCAAAAAGTGGAAGAAAACACCCCAAATCAAGCAATAATGAGACAGGGACCATCCTTCCCTCCCAGAGCTCCTCTGACAACAGGGATAACCCTTAGGACATCCTCCCTGGAGTCTCACATAAAAGTGCAGCCAAAGTGGCCCAGGGAAGGTCAGCAGGGAAATGGGGGTGGCAATCAAGGAAAATGCTTTATTAACCCCAGGTTCTGGTTGGGGTTAATGCAGATTTTAATCTGCAGCTGGCTGCCTGACTTCCCAGAGCCTGCCCCAACGTCCTTGGCTCTGCCAAGTGTGTTCCTTAACAGTGAGAGGCTGATGGGACTCAGGCCTGTCTGTTATAATGTATTAAGAGGCAAAAAAATTAAAATAAAATAAAATAAAATAAAATAAAAGAGAGAAAGATATAATTGTGTTAGTATTAGTCCAAAAATGGAATCCCCTGGGTTGAGATGGAAGTGGGACAGAGAGTGGCACAAGGTCACCAGTGACACTTAGGGACACAAGGCAGCTGCTGCAGGGACTCCTTGGACACAAATCCACTCATCCCACTTTCACCAGGGGCTTCTATGGACATGGCCTGGGCTAGGCTCACATGTCTGTGACTCACTTTAGGCAGGTGTTAAAATTAAGATTGCTCCAGTTTCCAGGTCCCCTGCAGCCCAGAATCCCAGATGGCAGTGCTAGGGCAGGTAACCTCTGACAGACCACCTGAGGAAATGGGAGAGTGCCTTCTGTGCCAACATTCAAAGCAGAAAAAAGCTCTCATTACCCATGACCACAGAGAATGATGTTGACAGGAAAATGAAACTCATCAAGCTCCTGAAATAAGAAAGCTTTGCAGTCTGCTCCAAGATGCAGAGTTAATTTTAATTGGTTGGATTCGRGTTTCTCCTGTCTTTGCAAGCTTTTAATTGTCCCACAAATCACTCACTTGGTGCTGAGGCCAACCAGAAATAATTCTGCATTTTCACACTTGAGACTGCAACCAGAAGGAAAAGCCAAGTTCGAGTTATTAACAGATAAATGTATATAACCAATATATCAACCTTCAATCTAATGTTTACCTTGAGGTGAAACATTTTCACCCAAGCCTGCTATTAAAAGCGAGCCCATTAATTATCTCAACTTTCACTCTTTCCCATTTCTTGCATTCCCTCCTCCCCTTTTCCCATTTTAATAAGAAGCAGGCAGCAGAGTGCCAAGCTCTCCAGCCTGCAGTGCCGTGGTTTATTGAGCCATCACTCGTGTCACGGCCACGGCAAGYGACACTGCCGGTGCTCTGCAGCCTCCTGCCACCCTGACAGAGCCTGACAAACTCATTAAGCACAGGGTGTGAGACAGAGGAATGCCAGCTGCAGSGAGGGGAAGCAGGGAACAGATCAGTGCTGTGCCCAGGCTCTGGCAGGCGAGGAGCAGAATCCGGCTGTGCTGCTGCCCACCATCCCAAAACTCCTTTTCTCTCCTGGGATCTGGCAGGATGATGTTTTCCTCCTCTTCTCCGTGGGGCTTTGCCCAGTTTGAGGGTGCTTCAGCCTTCTGGRGACCCTTGCCAGGCACCCAAAGTGTTGTCTTTATTACCAGTTTTAATTATGGCACAGGCACTGTTAAGGGGATAAAAGGGTTTTACCTCGGTATTTAATGGGATCCCAGATACACAGCTCGACAGAAATGCCCCCCGCATGTAGCACAGATTCAAGTTTTATAGATTTCACAAATTAGCAGATCTAGCTAGGATTCCTCAATAAGAAACTTAACAAATGCAGTCATGTCCCCCTGTTCTAAAGAATCCCCTCTGGAATGGGGCCAGAGCCCAGTTCACACAATGTGTCCCAGAGAGAAGGCTCCAACCTTCAGGTTTAAACAGCACAGGGCTCACTGACCCCTCAGTGAGGATGTTTGGTCTCTGCCCAGCAGAACCCTAAACTGAGCTGGAATATCAGGAATTACAACCATGCAGGCCAAGGGTGCAAGGGATACATAAAGGGTACAGAAAATATCAAGGGTTACATAAAAAGGAAAAGTAAAAATCTTCAGGCATCAGAAGTCCTGTGTGAATGAGCAGTTGGGGAACGCTGAATTCAGAACCCCTGAACTCTGACAAGCAGTAGAGTTGGTTCATTTGGCTGTGGCTAAAAAGCCCTGGTCACCTCCTCAGAGCAGAGCAGAAGGACAYTCATCCACACAGATCAAGCATCACCAACTCAGCCCGTTTTTTTGGCAGGAAAACTCGGAGATGAAGGCAAGTGAGGCCGAAGGCAGAGTCCCCATCTGCTGCCCAATCCTCAGGCTGTACCCTCTGCCTTCTCTGCAGAGCTGGCAGGTCATAAGCCAGAAGAAAAGGCTCAAAAACTCATGAGCATCTGCAGGAGGGTGTTGAATATCAGCTGGAATCTTTTCCCTGTGGATACAGTCAGGCACAGGAAAAAGCTGCCCAGGGAGGTTCAGCAATCTCCATCCTTGGAGGCTTTGAAGCCCCAGCTGAATGAAGCTCTGAGGAACGTGGTGTAATCCCAGAGCTGACCCTGCTTTGAGAACTGGAGACCTCCTGGGATTCCTTCARCTTGATTATCCTGTGATTCAAATCCCTCTGATCCTTACAGATTCCCAGACACATTCCCCAAAAGACAGGCACTGCTCCCAAAATCTCTCAGCCATCCTGAACCACCAGAATGGCAAAAAGTGACCCTTTGTGCCACCAGCAGAAACTGATTCAGCCTCGGGATTCTCAGATCCAACAGAATGCCCCAAGTTTGAAGCTGATTTCCCCAAAAGCAGAGGGGGGAAAGCTCTCCTGAACAGCAGGTGACCCAAAGGCAGGTGACCCAAACTGCAGCCTGGAAAAAAACCCATATTAAGAAAAGAGCTTGCAGATTCCCTGGCATGAGCTTTCAGGTGAGAAGGAATTCCTAAAGCACAAAGTAATAGGATTCAGCGTGGTTTGAGGTGTTCCAGATATTTAGAAACTCCAACAGCAAACATGGACTTTTGGCATGAGAGCAACCACACGCATAGGTCTGGAGTGCTGATTGCAAAGTGAAAAATTTAACAAAATGAAGGGAAAAAAACCCAGCCTTTCCCACTTGTGTTTTTCTTCTTTGATTTAGTTGGGCTTATTAAAGTAGGTTTTGTTTTAAGGAAATGCTGTATTTCAGCAGCTAAAATTCCTTTTGCCCTATTAAGTAAACTACAGGGAGTTTCGTCAGGCAGTGCAGCTAACTCACACTGGGAAAATTAGGAATGCATGCATTAGTGATAGCTAAATGTTTCATTGCTAGCAGTGGAATTAAAAAGACCTCCGTGCTATTTTAGCACCACCAATATCGCAGCAAATCCRCTGCGAGATGGGATCTGCCCTCCTAAAAATGAGGAGCTTGGAGCCTGGTGAAATGTCCAAGGTCATGTCAAGGCAGAGCTGGAAATAAAATCCAGGTCTCTTGATTGCCTGTGCAGAGATATGTGTTAAAACAATTACCATCTGCATTTCTGCCTGAATAATTGATTGCTTAATTCAGTGTCTGAACTGAAGAATGGAGTGGGAAAGAAAGGAGGAATTACCTTGTGTCGACCTAAAACATAATGATGTTATTCCTGCAACAAAGTATTTCCTTTGGAGCAGATGGAAGCATTTTGCCTGAGCTAAAATGAAATGCAATGTTGCATTTATTCATTTTTAATTGAACAAGCTGGCTTTTAATTCGCCATGCCTCAAGTTGCCTCCAATACAAAAAGAAAAAGAGACACAACCAGGCTTTTTTGCCAATAATCCTTCATTTTTTCAGCCTTGGCTCTTAGTGGGGTTCAGTCTGAATTCACAACTTTTTAAATTAATTTTCAGTTTTAAATTTTATAAAATTAATCAATTTTAACTGCACTTTCTGGATAATACATGACTGACCTGACCAACAGCATCTYGCTGTGGTGTAAATCACTCTGGCTGCTGTGGAAGGCACCAGTGTAAAAACACCTGGAYACCTGCACCACTTCTGGCAATCACTCTGCAGAGTGGAAACGGTCAGAAAGTCTGACTGTGGTTTCTCCTGCTGTGTTTTTATCCCAATACTGTGGGATAGCGCCCTCTGACAACCCCAAATGTGTCCAGCATTCCCTGTGAGCTCCCCACGCCCATTTTGAACCAGAGGTATCGAGCCACGAGGAACCATTCTTACTTTAAGAGCTTCCAAAAGAACCCTGAGAGCCTCTCCCAGGAATACCAACACCACAGCATCACCTGGCCCTCTGTGTCTGCCTGCTGCCAGAGTTCTGTGTCCCACTTGGACAAAACATCTCTGTTTTTAACTGTGTTTGGGACCACTGGCGGGGAAAAACGAAGCAGAAGCAGCAGCAGGGCATAGTTTGACCTTTACAGACCTTCCTTAACCCCACACTCATCCCTCCCTGCACAAATTAGAGTGGAAATGAATGATGCCAATGCTCATWASACCCAGGGCATTGTYTGARCRTGAAGAAAAATCCTCTCCCCCTTTYCTCTGGGAGGGGAARGAATACAGGACCTCAGGAATACAGGTTGGAAGGGCCCTGTCCATGGCAGGAGACTTGGAATTGTGTGATCCTAATGTCCCTTCCAACCCAAACCAAATTCTGTGATTCTCCCTTTTGCAAACAGCAAAACCATTTCTGGGTTCTTTCTTCTCCCTGKGGATTTTTAAGGTGTCTGAACAGTCAATCCAAGCACACAAAACCCATCAAACCTCTGCTAGAATTGTGCCAACGTTGTGTGAACCTTCTCCTCATGCCCTTGTGAAATCTAGGCACGGGTTTGGGTGGCTATTGGTGAATGAGGGAACTTTGCACATTCAGGTTTTATCCAGACACATAAATACACATCCACAGGGGTGCCAGGGATAAAACTGTCCCTGCCAAAGGCAGGCATGGGCTCACAGCACTCATRCACTGCACCACTGCTTCCAGATGTGCAGTGAAAACCACCAGTTTGTCACTCTTCTGATTTCATGGCACCAGATCCAAATCGCAGGATCTTTTGATTCTTAGGCTCTACAGGTTGTATCAGCTCGGTGTGGATCCTCAGGGTCACAGGCATTTCCATCTGAAGGGCAGCATTTTGCTCTGATCCATTACTCACAATAATTCCCAGTTTTTGCCAGAGAARGGGTGTTCAGAAACAATTCTGGAAGATTCAGACACTCAGAGCCACAATTTGTGTTTGTCAGAGCAAAGCCAATGAACATGCAGAGTATTTTTCTCCYGTGCACACCTCTGCAGTTATTTTCCCTTTTTTTTTCTCCCCCCGCCAGTTGCACTGTGCAAACAATAACCTGTAAAAATTCTAGTCTTCAAAGAGAAGATGACAAAATTTGGGCTGTTCATAACCGCATATGTAACCTGCAGTCTTAAGTAACCACCCAGGCAGTATCAAAAAACTCTCCTGGTAGCATTTACAGCTGTCTGCAGATAAGAATTTGCAGCAGAAATAAAGAAACGAAAAAACCTTATCCAACTATGYTGCACATTTTCTCTGATACTCTCCTCAGAAGCCAAAGCATTTTAAATCCTGAGAGCATCCTTCCTCGAGTTAAACGTGCTCTGGTGGTGCCAGTGTACACCAGTGCTGCATTACATCTGCATTTGTGTGAGGGAGAGCCCTCCTCTGTGTGTGAGATTTATTCCAGAGCGTGTGGCACCGGTGCTGTGAGACATCTGCCTGCTCCCTTAATGAGAGGAGACTTCGTTTCATCCCTACCAATGAATTTATCCTGCACACACACCCTGGCCTGACCTGTGGTTACCAAGCTGCCAATAAAATGTCACCTTGCCCAGTAAAATCAGAAATGGCWTTGTCTCAGGAGCGAGGTGATTCCGAATTAGTACAGACCATCCACATGCAGCTACTTTAAAGAGGACAGTTAATTAGCTATAATTAAGACATGAAAGCAGGAAAGTGTATTGTCTGTCCTGACTGCCTTTTGGAATGCACAAAAATCCCCCTCTAAGTCCCAGTTAATGCATCATCTTGAGTTTAAGACTATCAAGGCATCTTTAATTGTTGTTAATGCTCTGTTTACACCGGATTACTGTCTAATTAGTTGCAATTTGAATATTTAATCTATCCGGAAAGTTTAGATTTTTTTTTTCTTCTTTCTGTCTCATTTCACACACGGAGGCTACAGCCTCCCTCCGGTGATTTTGAAGGCACAGTTCAACAGATTGCTCTCTGAAGCAACTCCTGCCGCTCCTGCTCCGTGTCCTGTCAAACCCCCCATCCCCTCCGGTCCCACACAGACCCTYGCTCCTCTCCCCCTGCAGCACACGCTGCACTGGGGAGCGCTGCGATCCTATTCCCATTCCTATCGCACTCCTGGAGTGTCAGTTCCAGAAAGGTCTCCGTGCATTCGCCAGCTTCTTCCCACCGAAGAGCCAGCCGACCCCTTGCGGGATGTTTTAGTGACGCCCCATACCCCATCCCGAAGGATGTGGCAGGTCTGGGGGACTTCCCCAATGTCACCCCTCTGCCACCGACAGCAGAGACCCCTGCTGTCTCCTTGCCTCAACCACCCCTTCCTCCAACTTAGCTGTCCCTGCTCCCAAACTAGAGGATGGGAAGGAAAAGGAATCCAGCCCGGCGTTTCTGGAGCAGGGTAGCGAGGGGAACGGGCATCTGCGGCTGCTGGGAGCTCCGCATCCCCGCCGCCTGTCCCCGGCTCGGGCTCTGCCCCCGCATAGCCCTGCACAGCCCCTCTCCCCCTTCCCTGGGCCGGCGGGAGCTGGGAGGAAAAGCYGCTCCGCCACAGCGCGCTAGATGGGATTCCTCACGGGGAGCGGGAGGCGAGGGAAAGGAAAAGGAGCACCCGGCGCGCACTTTCCCTTCYACCGCTCCCAAATCTCGCCGCGGCCCCGCAGAAGCCCCTTCTCCCCCCAGATCCCGCCGGGCGAGAGCGGGCGCGGTGATTCGGGCTCTCCGCAGGGCATCGGGGCAGCACCTCCGCGCTCAGCCCCCGCGCTTCCCGGAGCTCCCCCCGGGTCCCTCCGCCGCGGCGGCTGCGGGAGCCGCGGTGCCCCCGCCTCCGCTCCGGGCTCCCGGGGATGCTCCCGGGGATGCTCCCGGGGATGCTCCCGGGGATGCTCCGGGGGATGCTCCGGGGGATGCTCCGGGGGATGCAACGGAGCGGGGATTTGGTGCATGGCTGCCCGGAGGGGGTCGGGCAGGGTGGGCTGGGGGTCACTCACCTCGCTGCAAGGTGACCCGCGGCGCTGCTCCCGCTGTCGCGGCCCGAGGGGCGGCTCAGCGCCCCGGCGCTCCGCCCGGCAGCATCCCCGCGGCGGGGGCGGCCGATGGGCACCGGGCCCGGGGGCTGCGCGCAGCGAGCCGAGAGAGACGGGGCTGCGCCGCCTGCACCGCCTCGGCGGCTCTGTGGGCTCGGCAGGAGGAGGAGGGAAAGGAGGAGGGAGGGAGGGAGAGAGAGAGAGAGAGAGAGAGAGGCAGGCGGAGGGAGAGAGGCAGGAGAACGAGCCCTGCGCGCCAGCGCGGCCAACTTTCCTTCTGCAGCGCAGCAGGACCAGCCTCCCATCCCTCGGTGTGTAACCCCCGCCCCGGGTGAGTACGGCAAAACCCTCCCCTCCCTGACCCCTCTCTCCTCCTCCTCCTCCTCTTCTCTAGGCCTTCCTCCCAGCCAGGGTCTCCCCTGTTTTCCCCCCGCACCCCGGAGCTCCTCCYGCCCCAGCCCGGCTGCCCCACGCCGCAGAGACACCGCCACCAGGAGCTGGCCACAGCTCCCCAGAGCCATGGGGAAGCTCCAGCAGGTCTGCAGAACTTTGATTGTTTGTGTGTTTTATTTTTTAGCGTGATGACGAGCGCCCTGGGCTGCACCCCACSGCGCTGAGGGGTGTTCCCTGCTTTCCTAATAATCCCGCATAAAAATAYGGGGTAAGCGTGTTCATTCATTAATCTTCCCGTTCCCAACAGGCCCGCTGGCCAAGTCATTTCCCTAAAAGCTTCTCTGTCACCGCTTCTTTCTGGATGCTGATGCTTCAACATCCACGGCTCCAAACGCTGTCGGGAARTCACATGTCCCGTTTAGATCACTGCTTTCCTTTGCCTCTGCAGGGACAGAGACAGAGCACATAAAGCCCTGGTGTGGTTTTCTTGCCTCCACCTCTCTGGGTTTTTTTTTTCTCTCACTGCTTGTTTATAATTTTTTATTCATACTCCCCAAATAAGCTGTGCCAAATCTTTGCTGAAGGAGAATGTTCAAGATTTRAAACACAAATTAACTAACTTGAGCCCATCTTAGGGGGTTTTCTCCAACCCTGTTTTCTGCTCTTCCACAACAATTTTAGTTTTAGTCTATCCTGGTGGTATCCATAAAAGATTTTTCTCTTCTTAATATCTGGTCCCTTGTTCATTCCTGAGTTGATCCAGACTGTGGGGAGGTTTTGTATCTTAGAGAAAACAGTTTTTTCTTAATGTAAGAGACACTGGGAGACAATTTGTACACAATCAGCAGAAAAAAAATAGCCCCAAATTATGATCACCCTGATTCTCCGGAGAGTTTTTCACCTTTATTTTCTTGAGAATAGAATTCTCTAAATCACATTCACTGTGCCTTTACCAAGTAAGACTTTTGGGTCTTTCCATTCTGCTTATGCAGGGACATTGCTTTAGGGGGGTTGGCTTGGAACCAAAGGCATTTCAGCTCCTGCAGTGCAAATCCATCAGTCATCACCGYTTCTGATTGGAGACACCAGCTGGTATGGATGGGCGGTGAATTCCTGCTGAAAAACATTTTTTTTTTAGTGACCAAAACGTATTCGTGAAATAGGAGGAAATCCAAAAAGATTTGTTRGTTGGTTTTTGKTTTTTATTTATTTATTTTATTTTATTTTTATTTTAATGGACCGGGRAAGGGATTCTGGCTCATCAAGTCAATTTTTCTTGCTTCCAGGCAGTTTTTTTCCTTCTGACACTTCCAAAAAATATTCTTTTTTCATGCTGTTATCAAAGTGAGGTTCAATGACATCAAGGAAGCAACGATTTTTCTCACTTTTCCTCTACCTTTGCCATTCTCCCTGAACCAAATTAAGCATATTCTTCACCCATTCTGGGAAGACCATGGGACTTTGTGTCCATGAGGAAATCAGGCCTCCTCTGGTTTACTTGAATTYTGCAGCAGAACCAAGAAAATCTAAGTAGAGGAGCAATCACAATCCAACAATGACAGGGGTTATAACCACAGACCAGAGAATAATTCTCCCTTTTTTTCTAGTCAGCCTCTTTTCTCACCCCAAACAACAAAAAAATCTACCAACACTAATTAACTCATAATTACCTAGTGTTAATTGTGCCACTTCCCTGTTTCACTACATTTGCCATAAATTGTCCTATCCCTTTTGCTGGAAAGATAATAATTGTCCCTGATTCAATTTTGACGTTTGGCTGGTCTATGATTTGGTGGCTCCTCTTCTTCCCACAAGGAGAAATTGAGGGGAGGGGGTTCATGGGAGTGTCTAGAAATGGTAATTAACCATCATCCTCAGGAATCAGGGGTGGGATGCTCAGGAATCTGAGATGGGATGGGATGGGATGGGATGGGATGGGATGGGATGGGATGGGATGGGATGGGATGGGATGGGATGGGATGGGATGGAATAGAGGCTCAGGAATCTGGGATGGGATTGATACTCAGGAATCAGGGATGGGATGGATGCTCAGGAATCTGGGATGGGATTGATGCTCAGGAATCAAGGATGGGATGGGATTAATGCTCAGGAATCTGGGATGGGATTGATGCTCAGGAATCAGGGATGGRATGGAGGCTCAGGAATCTGGGATGGGATGCACGGTCAGGAATCCTGGATAGGATGCATGTTTAGGATACCCCAAGGAAGAAAGGGAAAAGGCAGTGCCTTGCAAGTGCTTTCCTGGTCKGTAGGAAGAGCAGCAGCACCACCTATCACTGAGAGGGAAGGAGAGAGGACAGACAGAGAGCTTTTGCTCCTCCTGCCGGTTCTCACTGCAGGACTGGAGCCCAGACTTTCCAGATCACCACAGAGAAACTTCCTTATTTCCTTCTTCCAGCAGAAGAACCCAGCTTAAATCTCTCACTGCACTTTTTGTGCTCAATATTTCCTTGGTGCAAAGCCAGCAGAAGGAGGTGGAGGGGATRGAAAGGTGAAGGTTTTGGGCGAGAAGAGCTCAGAGTTGGTGTTTACAGTGATGATGAACCAGAAAAAAAAAATAGAAACCCTCAGGTGTGCAGTACCCAAAGAATTGTTCATGGCTCAGAGGGCACAGTGAGGCCCCAGGATCTCCCTGTGCTCCAAATTGTGCAGGGCTTTTGTCTTGTGGGCTCTGTCAGTCAAAAATCCTGGCACCAGAATTACTGGTGTGGTCTGAACCGTATGTACCTTGACTATAATTCAGAGTGATGGAACAGAGCAATCAGGAAGTAGCCCAAAAATCTGCAATTTCTTCTTGCCAAAGGCAAAAAAAATCTTTCCACCTAATTGGATCCAACCCCAAAGGCGTAGCCGGGAGTGCTTGCAACTTCCTGAGAAAKAAAAATGGCTGAGCAGTGTGGCTGCTGAAGTTTGTGTTGATTTGTTTGCTGGTAGCTCTRGAACCAGAATAAAAATTAGAGTTTGGATTCAAGCGAGCCGAGCAAGTTTTTATTTTTCTGATTCTGCATTCAAGGCAAATCAGCAAGCAAAAGATACAATTTTTTAGCTGAGTGGATGATGCAGCTCAAGATCAAATGTTTCATTGCTCTGAACTCTTCTTTATAAACTGGGTATGCGTATTTACTTGCAACAGAGGAAAAATCTAAACACAATCACTGCCACTGCCTGCCTAATTAAACCAGGAGTGTCTGCTAGAAATCATCTGCCAGCAGGATGAAGGAGATCCTTACAGCTGATGCTGAACTAATTTGGAGGAACCTGCTAGGAAAAGTGGGACAGGACCAACTTTTTTTATATTCCAGTCTCTGGAATGGTTTGGATCTCCTTTGCCTCACACAAGTTGCTTGAATTCAGCCAAAGTGGCCCAGTTTCCCACATGTCCAGGAGCTGAGAGACTCAGAAAAAAAAATCTGCTTTTATTTTTGCCATCTGTGCCTTGCCTCTCCTGTTGGAATTTTTTGGAAAGCCTTACAGCAAGTCCTGGCACCAGCACTTTCCTGCCCAAAAGGTGGCTCTGASCAGCATGGGCACCTCCAGGGGAGAGGGAATTGTGTGGTTTTTGTGCTGCCTTTGGAGGGAGGCAGGAGAGGCACGGGTTGGTGCTAATTGGGACCGGGCCATCTGTCAGACAGAAAATGTGCCAAGGCCTCTCTGTGACTTTTACAAAGGAAGGAGCCAGCCACTGGTGAAATATTTAGGTCCTTGAAAAGAGACAGACAAATATCTGAGATGATAAAGGTCYCTCTTGGATGTGATTTGGGATCTCCTGAGTTATCTGGCATCTCACCTTAAACACATTTTCAACCTGCTTGGTTGGAATCAGACGCTTCGTGGGAGCTGAGCRCTGTGAAATGTGACCCTTTATGGATTGCTCAGGCACCCAGCATGTCAGGATGTGTATGAACATGGCAAAATATGGAAATGGAATTGTCCTTCCCCAAAAATTCTGATAGTTCAAGTGGCCAGGACAGTAAAATCAGGGATTGGAGGCATCTGGTTCTATAGGGCARCTCCGGATTTATATATGGGCATGCTGATGGGTTAAGTTAAATTAATTTTATTTAACTTCATTAAATTAGATTAATTGGTGATGGATTAAGTTAAATGGGTTGCAGGTTGTCACATGGAGTTGGTTCACCCCCTTAAAGAMATAATTGGGCACGTGGGGAAGCCCTGGATCATMCAGGGAGTGCCAAGGGAGCCAACAYAAATYATCTGGGGGAGATGCAACTCTCTGGAGCCATGGCTGGAAGGAGGAGGATGCTGAGCTGAGTCTCCTGTGCCTGAGTCCCATTTGGCAATTATGATTTAAGGAGAATTCCAGGCCCTTTTCTCGCTGCCTGCAGCCCCCAGGGTGTGGATGAAACCCCACAGGAGCCTCAACAGCAGCTGTGCACAAAGAATGAGATGGATTCCAAATCCTCCATCATCCTTCAGGTTTAAACCAGTCAGTTCCTGTCCTGTAACACGAGAAAAATGCTTTGGGCTGGCAAAACCAGAAGGAAATGGCTTTTTGTTTCTATATTAATAGGTTATGGAAATGAAGAGGAGTTGAGATTTTCTCTTTCTGTCTTTTGCTGATCTGCCATGGTAAGGACACAGCCCCACTGCTCCTCAGGATGTCTGACAAGATCTGTTCTGGCATGGAGGCAGAGGACAGGGCTGGCCTGCCTGGACTGACCRTGGAAAAGGGCTGGACATGACCAGAGAAGGTCCTGAATGTGAGGAACAACGAGAGTGAGAAGCTGATGGGAGTTACAGACRGCTCCGTGAGAAAAAATTGGATTTCACAGCTGGGAAGGAGGATRACTCTGATGTGGAAGATTGTG